AGGTGAACTGTCCAGGTACAAAGCCCGATGGGTTGTTCGTGGGTTCAACCAACGCCATGGCATCGACTACGACGAGACTTTCAGCCCGGTTGTCAAACCGGCCACTATACGCATCGTTTTGAGCCTAGCCGTGTCCAAAGGATGGCCGATCCACCAGTTCGACGTCAAAAATGCTTTCTTGCAGGGCTACATCTCAGACACTGTTTACACCGCTCAGCCTTCGGGATTTCAGGACCCTGCTCGCCCACATTATGTCTGCAAATTAAACAAGGCACTCTATGGACTCAAGCAAGCCCCCCGCTCTTGGTACCAGCGATTCACAGGATTTGTTCTTTCTCTTGGCTTCAGTGGGTGTAAGAGTGATGCCTCCTTGTTTGTTTACAGTCGCGGTCAGGACATGGCACTACTTCTGCTCTATGTTGATGATATTGTCCTCACTGCATCATCCACTACCTTACTACACCAGCTCACAGAACGACTAAAAGGGGAGTTTGCTATGACAGATACGGGTGACCTTCACTTCTTTCTTGGGATCAATGTCCAGCGGACCTCTCACGGCCTACTCCTCACTCAGACTCAATTTATCTATGACATCCTTGAGCGGGCAGGCATGACCTCGTGCAAACCCGTTTCTACACCCGTGGACACCCGCGGGAAGCTCTCGGCCACCGTTGGTCCTCCAGCGCCAGATCCCTCTCTCTATCGCTCTATTGTGAGAGCACTGTAGTACCTCACCTTCACACGCCCGGATATTACCTATGCCGTACAGCAGTTATGTCTCTTCCTTCATGATCCTCGAGTGCCGCATGTCACAGCCATGAAGCGCGTCTTGCGCTATCTTCACGGTACACCCACACATGGCATCACCATCTCACCATCTCAGATAGATCACATGCGGGCATACTCTGATGCTGACTGGGCTGGCTGCCCAGATACTCGTCGATCGACATCCGGTTACTGCATTTTTCTAGGCGACAATCTCATCTCCTGGTCATCTAAGCGACAACTCACAACCTCTCGATCTAGTGCTGAAGCAGAATATCGAGTTGTCGCTAATGCTGTCGCTGAAGTCTGTTGGGTGCGCAATCTTCTTCTAGAACTCCAGCAACCACTGGTGCGATCCACACTGGTCTTCTGTGATAACATCAGTGCTGTCTACCTTTCGGCCAACCCAGTTAAACATCAGCGCACAAAGCATATTGAGGTAGATATTCATTTCGTGCGAGACAGAGTAGCCCTTGGTCAGATACGAGTCCTTCATGTGTCTTCTTCATTACAGTATGCTGACATTTTCACCAAGGGACTACCCACCATGATTTTCTCCGAGTTTCGAGATTGTCTGGGCGTGCGACGATCTTCTTTGGTGCCGTTGGGAGCATGTTAAATATATTCTTACTATATTTAATATTAATGTATATTGGTAGCTTCCATAATTGTATAGGGTGTAATTAATACTGTTTCCTATTATCATTAGGAAACTCTTGTATATATACACATGTAATCTCCCATAATAATTTATGTGAAAATACTCATTCTTCAAAAACCACCAAGCTTGGTAGGGTAAGGTCTAGGCAACCCTTACCGAGTTTATTAAGATACTTTCGTCACCACAAAGTGAGGGGAGGACCAAAACCAAGGTCTAATGCCAGCCAATTATCACATATCAATCCAAAATCACTCTTCAAATTTAATTATTAGAATAGAACTTTTCATAAGCAGTGACCCCAATTCTTGAAGTTTTCTTGCAGATCCATCAATGTCTTGAATTTGGACTCTCAAGTCAACCAATTATCACATATCAATCCAAAATCACACTTTGGTTGTATCCGTCAGCAAAAAAAACCGACGGAAAGAGTCCAGTTGAATAGAATGGTGGAGAGAGTGGCGGCGGAAGCTCGGCGTGTCTAGCAGTTTGTAGGCCGGTGGTACTGGAGTTCCTATTTAGTTGGGAGCAATGCTACGTTCATAAACAGAATGGTCACAAACTTCACAAACTTGCCATTTGTGATTTAAATTTTCATTTTAAAATTACTTTAGACCATTTAATTTTTTTATTGAAGTTCACAAATAGTAAGTTTGTAAAGTTTGTGACTTTTTTGTTTTTTTGTTTGTGAATCTAACATTTCTCTTAAGTTGGAGTTCCTTAGGGCTTTTTCAGGCGGCAAGTCCCAAATTTCTTGCCGCTGGTTTTTTCGAGTAAGCATCCAACACTCCGTATTAATTTTGGACTACATTTTTAAGGGAAATTTTAAATTATATTTTACTTTAATTTGGTTTAAATACAAATAGATACTCCATATTAAGTTTACAATGAGGGTTAAAAAATTGGTCACAAAAAGTAACTAATTTTAACTACGGTACTTTTCCCGTCATAAAAGATATATAAATAAGACATATAATGAGAGTCTTTTCAACCCGTCATTATTGATTCGTAATTAAAAGTAGATTTTCTTGTAGTGAAAAAATTAAATTATTGATATTTAATATGTAAGAACCAAATAAGAAAAATGACCTATAACTAGGTATTATTTATGAATTTTATTATTTAATATACAAGAATTTGAAATAACTAAATAAAATCCTAATCGAATAAAAAAAATCAAAATCCTAATGGAATAAAAAAAATCCATATGTTACCAAATTCTTACGAAATAAAAGAATTTGGTAAAACTCTATAAACAATGAAAACTGTATAAGTGGCATGAAAAGTACTTTTTACTCCGTTATCTTTCTCCATCCGTCATAGATTTCCCAATAGCTCTTTTTCTTTGTCCATAATAGATCTTCTCGTTTCATTTTGTAACAATTAAAATACAACAACTACTCCACTTACTTTATTTATAATACCTCAGTACCTCACCAACCTCATTTAATACACTCTACCCATTTTTATTAAGGGTATTATGATAAATTTTACTTTTTTAGAAGGACGGATGGAATAGTTAATATACAAGAATTTGAAATAACTAATTAAAATCCTAATGGAATAAAAAATGTATACTGCGGCGTGAGAAGTATTTTTTTTTTTGCAGAACCTTGGCCCATAGCCAACCTCGATCCAAATTCTGCCTTCCCCAGTCATCCGAACGGACCCCTGCTGCCTTCCCTCCAATGGCGTCTCTGGACACCGACGTGATGACTATTCCGGCCGGCGAGGGTTCCAGCGGCGCTGCACCGTCGTCTTCAGCCAAGAAAGGCAAGAATTTCGAGATCAAAAAGTGGAATGCAGTTCCCCTCTGGGCTTGGGGTATATATATATTATCTCTCTCTCTCTCTCTCTCTCTCGTATGCTCAATGTTGATTTGCAAATCGCAATCTAAACTCGCGAGATGGTGTTTGTATTTGCGCATATTGTTCGAGAGCCTTACCTAATGTCTGAGTATGTGTTACGTTTTGATGATTATAGTGTTGTAGATCGAGGAGGGATCTCAAATGGAGAAGGAGACCCTCGAGGATTCCACAGCTAAACGTTTGTTATTGAGAGAGAAAACAGAGAGAAAAAGATAACTTGGATAACAATTTTCTGATTTTCATTGATCAATAGCCAGCCCTATTAAAGCCTACAACCCCAATCTTTTGCTAGAAAAAGAAGTAAATTACAATAATAGCCTTGTGTGCTTAAACAAAAACAACTATATAAAATAGTAATACTCTATAACATTAGGCTATTTAAATTCTGTTGGAACCCAAATCCTTATATAGTAGTTGTAAGTTGGAGTTTCTATTGGAACCCTAATTCTTCTCTATTTTTTGTAAGTTGGAGTTTGTGCTAATTATGATTTTAATTCTTGTGTTACCTCTGAAAATCCGTATGGTGTATTGTTTTCTTTTTGACCTTCCAGTGGTTATTGGTTTACTCGTTTACTTGAATAGTTCAATATTGTAAGGGATATACAGGGCAGAAAGTCTAGTCTTGTTGGCGTAAAACTGTAAATTGAATTTGTGGTTAGAAAGGTGACGATTGATTGATTTGTATTCTCTATTAAGCAAATTTTTTTTGAGGAAATATCTATCAGGTATTGAAACACTAGTGGTTATAGAGTGGTTGGAAGTGTTTGTTTATAATGGGGTTGAATACTCTTGTGCACGAAAACACTAGTACAATCTTTTTATGTTTAGTTTACAGTTCACACTATTGCTCGTATATGTGGTTACTTCAATAGCTAAATACTAAGGGTAGCTTGGTGAAAAAAAAACCACATTGAGTATTTGAGTGAGAATAGGAGGAAGGGTCCATTATGATGGTATTATATAGGTAGACCTTACCTTTTACTTTTGAAAGTGATTGCTTCCGGGACTCAAACCCGTGGTGTCAGGGTCACCTGGAAGCACCCGAACCGGTGCACCAACGCTCCCTTTCCTGTAGCTCAATACTAAAAGTAATTTAAATTGTAGAAATCCAGATTTGTCATTTTAAAGATGATTTAGATTATTGGAGACCTTTTTAGTGCTATAGAATATGATTTTTTTTCTCTTCTTCTGTGTGTGTCTGAATGTGTTGTCCTGTGCTGCATCATTAATCATGTATGTGTAGTTTACTCTCTTAGTATAGGAATACTAATGAATACTTTTCATTATTATATTATGCTATAATGTTTGAATGTACCGTTTTGGAGAGTATTCAGTACACTGTGTTTGTATGGTGAAGGGCTTTGTGATGCCTGTGCATGTGCTCATTCTGATTATTTTTTTACTTCGCAATATGTAAAATATAAATGTAATACAAGTACGGTATATCCAGTTAGATTTTATTTTAACATTTTTGTTTTACACTGTTTATTTTATTGTCTCTGCAGATATTGAGGTGGACAACTGTGCTCTTTGTATGAATCACATCATGGACCTCTGTGAGTTTGTCTTTGTTCATAATGCTCCTGAGTGCTGACAAGTTCGTTTTGCTTGGTTTATTTGAAATAATTAAGCATCATTTTCTGCCAAGTTTGGGCTCAAAGTTTTCTTATTATTTTGCTAGGTATTGAGTGCCAAACTAATATGGCTAGTGCCCCAAGCGAGGAATGCACAGTTGCTTGTGGTTTGTACCATTCTTCAATTGTGCTACCTTTTCACTCATTCCATGCATGGAATCATTATGCCAGTAGTTTAATGAAAGTGTTGTTTGGACATCCTCTTTTCCACTCTTTAAACCGACTTACCCTTGATTTCTATTTCCGTTTATGCTTTTGTTTTTCATTACCCTTGATTTAAACTAAGAATCCTGTTTGAAAAAATATTTTTCTTACGAAAAGGCCGGGTCCTATTTCAACAAAGCAAATGTTAATCATATTTAGTTTTTTTTTAAATAACACAACATCCAAACAAGCTGAGAGTGCTAAGTTTAGATAAATCAACAAATTAACTTGAAACTTTAGTTATATTTGATGCTTTCTAATAGTTGTACCTTACTAAAATTTATAAGTTGTCCCTTGGTGACACATGTTTCTTTTTATGAGACGAAGGGAGTAGCATTTTGTAAACTAATTGTTCTCAATGAATTAGGTGTAAAAGAATGTCATGACATTGTTGAATTTTGATGGCACACATTCCCTTGCATATTAAAGTCAAAAAATTATTGCATACTGTATGTTGTAATGATCATATTACTTACAACATCTCCCTAGTGAAAATGTGCTCAGACTAGTGAACCTTCAAACTCCAAAGAATTGTGTGTATGTGTGTCCCTTTTCCTGGTAAATCTACTGCTCTCACATATTTTACCGTGCTTTATGATATACGGAGTAAGAATTACAAACATGGATCCCCCATGACAAGCTCGACGTTGAAGGAAATTTCAAGTACTGAAGTTTACAAACAATTTAGTATGGTCTCACCCACAAGTGGGATTTGGGGACAGTGGGTGTTTGACCTTATCCCTATTCCATAGCCATGTAGTTAGAGAGGCTGTTCTCAAGCGACCCTTGCCTCAAAGTTCAAGTACCGAAATTCAATGTGTTGTAATTGCAGATATCTACTTCTATGCCATATAGCCATCTCTATCAGACTACATCAGCATTGATTTTCCCATTCTGGATATCTGTTATTAGTGTTTATCCATTAGTTATAATTTTTGTTATTAGACTTTTCTTGTTTTTGATCCCACGACTATTATGCCATTCTCACTTTTAGTCTATGACTTTTAGTTTTTTGCTTTTGGTGCTCTAATATGCACTTGTTGCCACTTTTGTTGAGGCTAAGAATCGTCTTTGCAGGGTTTTGCAACCATGCCTTCCATTTCCATTGTATCAGCAGATGGCTTAAGACAAGTCAAGTTTGCCCCTTAGGTAGGCTTTTTTCCTCTCTATTTTTCCATGCAATGGGGTCTTTTGTATTTGATTCCAATATACAATTCCCATATTTCAGACAACAGCGAGTGGGAGTTCCAGAAGTACGGGCACTAGAACCTACATTCCCTGTTGCCCTTTGAGTTTCCACTAGCAAACTGCACGATGAAGAATCAGGGCAAGTGGTATTTAATCCTGACTTTATGCTTTTCGAAAACATATTGATGAAATCTTTCAGTAGTTTATAATTTCCAAATATGTTAAGTTTGTTAATCTGAATGGTTTATTTGTCGGGAAAAATGCTGAGAGAGCTCATTTAAAAATTGATTGTAAATTGCGATTAATCGGCGCACCATGCGTTGTTTGCATTCACATTTGCACGCCATTTATAAGATCCTTGCACACACACCATGTACAAATGCTCTAGTTACACTCTTGCCTTTGAGTACTTAACGATACACAAGAGAGATCATCTATACTCCTATATAAAAGCAAAAGAATTGGGGGAGGAAAAAGAAAAAGGAAAAATAAAAAAAGCAAGTGTTTTCCCGCCCAAAAGTTAGGAGCACATCTACTCCGTATTAATTATTGATGCACATTTGCCAATTATAATTAGTGTGATGGATTAAGCATTGGAACATGCGCTCCACATGCATTAATTGGATTTTGATCCTTTTCTATATTATTACGAGTATTATTATTGAAATTCATTGTGAGTCATTTATGACATGACGAGACTGCGACTCTTCCGTTCTCAAAATTCATTAATGAAGCGTCGACTTTTCCATATTTCAAGCCGTCTGACCATTGGTTATCCACGACTCATTTCGTCCTTCCTAAGCTCACTTCATTACTATTGATAAGTACTCCGAGTATAAAAAAATACATATTCAATTGTTCAAATATTTTTGAAGTTAATAAATTATTATTATTATAAGAGAAAACAATGATAGTATTAAAATATATTTGGGAGTATGAAGGAAACATATAAAAAGTTAAAAATCTATACTTATATACAAACGCAAAAGATTTTGGGAATTAATTTTAGAAAATGAAGAATGAAAAAAAACATTTTCCCGCCCATGTTTTAGGAAAATCTAGACTATATATCTGCATTTCGTGATAAATCTATGGCTAGAAATATTCCTTGGGATTTACAATGGAATTCAGCCGCCAAGGAGAAATAATTGCAATTATTCCATGGGACTTGCAATGGAAATTCAGCCGTCAAAGTGAACTAATTGCAATAATGAAGTGCTTTTATTGAAACCTTTGCTCTTCTAAATGAGATCCATTCCTACACTTTTTCTTCAGTTTAGTCTTTATACATAAACCCATGCCTTTTAAAAAAAAATAAGGTAGAAAATAAGCAAATCTAAACATAACCAGGTAGAAAAAACCTTTGCTCTTCTGAACGAACCAAATCCCATGCCTTATAAAAAAAATATTTAAAATCCGAAGACTAAAAAAAATCTAAAAGAGATCATATGCAATAAATAATTACAGTTTTGGAATTATAAAGATAAAAAATAAAATAAAATATATAAACAACAAACCCAGGTAGAAAAAACATAACACTTAGTTTAGATCTTGAAAAAATCAAATCTCATGCATGTTTTTAAAAATCTGAAATTTATATAGAACAAATGGCTTAGATCTCTCAAATTGAAACGGCATCCATGTTTTAAAAAAAACACTGAAATTCTAGATCTAAAGATTGGAAAGTTGAATCACTAATGAGACTATATGCAATCAGTGAAGAAATGTAGATTTGTACTATAAAAATAAATAAATAAATAAATAAAAATTAGAGAAAAAGATTATTAGATGTTTAAGATCTAGAGAATATTAAAAACTTTGCTGCTCCCTTTTCCGAATCCCTCTAAAAAAAATCAAAATAGGATTAGGGATTATAAATAGAAATTGCGGGAATTAGATCTAAACATTGGAAACGGCGTGCATGTTTAGAATAAATCAATAATTTACATCTAAACACTGCAAACTTGAAATTCGAAAGAGACCGCTATAGATCTAACTACTCTAAAACCCCTTTAGATCTGGACAAGTAAAACATCGTGCAAATTTAAAAAAACGCTTATATTTTAAATTAAAAAGAAAGAAAGCTTCAAAATTTCAAAATAGAACAAATGAAATCAAAAAAAGAATTCCACATTTCTATGGAGGATTTCAAGCGCTACGGAGGATTTAGATCTGTAAATTAATCACTGAATACTACGGAGTAAGATTTACAATCCACACTATGTAGAAGAAAGATTAAAGAAAAAATATTAGAAAAAAAAACGGAATAAAGATGACAGAAAGATTTAAGAGCCTGAAGCGAAGAAGAGATAAAGACATGAAGTAAAGGGAAAGATGTGTAGCCCATCAATTAATTATCAAGTTTGATTTTTTTAAGCCAAATTAAATAAACTTTAAACTTTAATTAAATAAAAAAATCGTAATATATTTAAAAATAACAATAACTTTATAAAATTTTCTGTATTTAAAACTTTCAAAATTGTATTTCATTATACTAATATATACTACGTAATACAAATTAAAAATAATTACAATCTAAAGTTTGTCAAACTTGATTTAAAATAGTCAAACTCGACAAATATACTGTGATAAAGGTAGTAAACTTTTATAAAATTTAACATATACTCTCTTCATCCCTATTTTTATTATAAATTTGGAATAACGAGATTAAATTCCATGATTTTAAAAAAAACATTTAATCAACAAATTAATACACTAATAATAAATAAAAATGGCATATCAAAAAAATTTAAAAACCATATAAAGATCGTAATTTTATGATTTTATATATATAATATATATATATATATATATAATATATATATATATATATATATATATATATATATATATATATATAGTTTTGTAATTTTGTACAATCTTTTTCCTAGATAAAGAGTATTTTAATCGTACAAAAATCTTTGATAAGGTATGCAAACCAGGTTCTACTTTTGATTTATTCAGTGACCTGCATTCATCAAAATTCTTGAAAAACATACGTGCTTCAGGCTTTCTGAATCATGAGCTAAATTTGAAAGTTGGCACTCCTATAATGTTATTAAGAAATATCGATCACACCATGGGATTGTGCAATGGTACGAGATTGATAATTACAAGTTTGGCAACTCATTCAATACAAAAAAGAATTTTGACAGGTACACATATGGGCCAAGAGTAGTGATCCCAAGAGTGCCATTAACTCCTACAGATCCACGCATTTCTTTCAAGTTTCAAAGAAGATAGTTTGTTATAATGGTTTTCTATGCAATGATCGTTAACAAAAGTCAGGGCCAATCGTTGTCTCACGCAGGACTTTTTCTGGTGAAACCCGTTTTCAATCACTTAAAATTATACGTTGCAATCTTGAGAATTACAAATCGTAGTTGTTTAAAAATACTAATATGTGACAAAAATGACCAACTAAAACATTCGACAATGAGTGTTTATAAAGAAGTGCTTCTTAATTTGTAAATGTTTTAGCAATAAATTCTGTAATCATTTTTCTTACAATTTTTTAATGTAAGAGAATGTTTTATCTCATAAATTTCATTGTATAATATTTTCATATATTAATATATACTCCGTGCTAAAGTATAAAATCTTAACATAATTTCATAATTATATAACAGACTTTTGTCCGTGCAACGCACGGGTATGATTCTAGTTTATTTATATGATCAAATCATTCACATCATACCACTTGTCCAACCAACGTTCAATTTACGCCGCATATTTATGCCACTCTATTAGTGTATATGGGTGGTTATAACGTGTATTGAACGGCTAGCGACAATAAAACCCGAGAGCTGAGACCTCTTCAAATGAATCACACCCGCAAAAAGGTATCAGGTTTAATTGTTGGAGGCTGCAATACAGCTCGTAAGTATGCTTCAGATTAATTTTGGAAAATAGATTTGTGTTATAAGAGCAAAAGGTTGTTTTAAGTTTCAACTCAATTACGAAGTACTCTCTCTGTTTTTTAAAACAATTTCTCTTTCATTTTTTTCATTTTCTGTAAAAAAATGACTAATGTATCCACCTGAAATCATTGCAATATACAACTTTGAGTTTGTATTTATATAATAAATTATTTAAATGATTTATCGGTCTTTTTTCTTCGATGTTAAAGAAATCTGGCTCAAGTCAAAACAAGAATGATTTTAGGAATAGTAGATAGAATAGTATTTTGCATAGTTATTAAAAAATTTGTAAATTCCCAAGATGGTCCTTTGTAATGAAGTATACTCTGTATATGCAAATCAATCATCAATAACTTTTAAATACTAGCGAGATACTCTATGTTTTATAATTGAGATTTATTTCTTAAATAGTCATTTGTAGAAAATATCACTTGAATGCCGATTAACTTTGGTATTTGCATTATCTAAATTTAAGTAATTTTTCAAAATAGTCGTTGTTATACAATTTAATGTCAAATTAATATAACTATTGGCTATACATAATTCATGGATTATCAAAGTGAATTTACTCCCTTCGTAGCAATTAATAATGTGAAGACATTACTTTAAGGGTCATGCTACACTTACACCACAAATTGTACCTCATTTGTACACCGCAGTTATACACAAATATTTTGATGGTTTACACCGACACAAGTGTTGGTGCGTTAACAAAAATTTACACGGACACAAAGTGTTGGTGCATTAATAAAAATTAGTTTTACACCAACACAAAGTGTTGGTGCAAAGCTGCGGAGTAGAAAATGGGGTACAAAATGTGGGGTACAAATAGCTTTATCCTTACTTTAAAAGTATTCTCATAACAAAAAAAGTATAGTATTCTCACCTTTCATACATCAACTACGAAAACAACATATATTTATGGAAACAGCAGCATCTAATTAAATTGGTTGGAAGAGGAGCAGTTTAATTAAGCACTTGAATGATGGCTTCTTCATACAGCTGCAATTAGAATGTGATGACATGCTGCAGGCATCAGGAGCTATGGCATTCCGGCTTTTCTTTTTCAATTTGGTTATCAAAATTAAGAATCTATTTCCATCTACTTGCTCATAAAAAAAGGGTTTACATTAGGGGTGGGTTCGGTTTTAACGGTTCGGTTTTTACCTAAAACCAAAGACAGAACGGAAGGCATTTTGGCGTTGCGGTTCGGTTCGGTTTTGTAAAAAAAAAAAAGAAAACCAATCGTCATACGGTTCGGTTTTTAGCGGTTTGAATTTCGGTTTTTTTTCAATTCATTCGGTTTAGACAATTGGTAGAGAGTAAAGTTTGCAAACCTACAAGTAAAATAATAAATAAACTACAATTACAAGCAAAAAAACTAGGAGAAATGTTGCAATTTGCAGTAAATGTAAAACTGCACTAGCTGCCTGGGAGTATGCTGGAATTATTCCTGGAACCAGTTCCACAAATTTCCATTAGCTGCCTGATAGTATCATCACAGCCACCAACACAGCCTGCCACAAAATGGAAACACACAACATAAAATATGCATAAAATATACCATTATATCCAGATTAGTTCTACTCCGTCAATCAAGCAAGAAGTCCATAACCTAACAATTACATTATTCCCATTGGCTTTCTGAACAATTATCTTTTCAAAACAACAAGAATTGTAGTGCTCAGCACAAAAAGAAAGGGAGAAAGTTATCCCTTGGGAACAAACGTGTACTAAATTTCAACATACTGAAGTTTTCTGCATTCAAAACTGAGAGAAATGTAGTAATTTGCAGTAAAAAACAGTAAAAATGCAGTAAACAAAAATGTGTCATTCTAAAAAATTGCAATTATCTTTCCAAAAACTGCAAGGATCAACCCAAATTAAAATGGTAGGCACATCTTTGAGATGCAAGAATCAATCTTCAATAAACTTATCATAAAAAATCAGTCACGAGGCTATCAAGAATCATTCACTGGTTGTCAAGAATCAATCACTTTTTCATAAATTACTCAATATCTGCAAAGAAAATTCTGTGCAAATTCTGTGCAAATTGAAGCCAAAGTATGGGAGCTAGTTAATAGTTATACCAAAAAATTAAAGAACAAAGAAAACTTCTGCAAAATATGAGAGTTATACAAGAGAAAATTTCAATTCCTAGAATGATTTGATAAAAATTTTTTGAAGAACATATGATTTCATACCTTCTTGGTTAGATGCTTCAATCTTGGACAAAAATTAAAGAACTACGATGGTGGCCTGCTTCAGTGTGATTAATGAACTTCCGAGTTGGACTCAAAGAACTTCCGATGGTGGCCTGCTTCTCCGCGATGGTGGCCTGCGTCTCTGGGATTCGGAAGTCGAAACTAGGAAAGTCGGAAGTGCTGGACTCAATGGACTGCGCCTCTGATTTGAAGATTTTAGGAGTCTGACTATTGACCGTAAACCTAAAAGGCATTACTAAGTACTATTCGGTTAATTGCAGTTCGGTTCGGTTTTTAATAGCCAAAACCGAAACCAAAACCGAATTAAATTGGTTCGGTTCGGTTTTTTGAGTTCGGTTTCGGTTTTCACGGTGCGGTTTTTTTTGGTATTGTTCGATTGATTTCAATTCGGTTTTCGGTTTTCGGTTTTCCGGACCCAGCCCTAGTTTACATTAGATATTCTACTCTAATCTATGTAGGAGTAGTAGACTAGTAGAGAAAAGTTACATTATTATTTTTTTGAATTTTGGCTTTAAAAACCAGATTTTGATTCTTCCACTACCACCCTTAATTCATGGATTGTCAAAGTGAATTTACTACGATGGCAAGGCGAAAATGGAATGCCACACGGTGACATGGAACATTTTAACCAATCAAAAATAGTCCAGCCAGCGTGTGACAAGTAAATGAAGTGGCAAGTCATTATTTTTATCACTTTTTTACATTTTTTTATATTTTTTAAACATGAAAAAAATATTTTTATTATTTATTCTATTAAAAAATTATTCTACTTTCTTGTACTTTTTTTCATAAAAAAATTTAAAAAAAATTATTTTTAAAAAAGAAAAAAAAGTAGTATGAAGTGCCACACTCATGCCTCACCAGTCACCAAGCAAGGCATTTTGGCCTTGGCATGCCATGATATGAGTGGAAGAAGCTTATGTGGCATCCCTTTTCGTTGCCATTGTACAAGGAAGGAGCAGAGGAGTAATTTCCTCTACACCATATTAATTTCCTCCACCCAACGTTTTCCGTGCATCAAGCTATCTTAATTTTTAATTTTTTGCCGTGTGACACGGCGTTTTTTTCTTCTCTTCTCTATCGGTAAATCAACCCTCCACCCTATAAAATCTATCCACACTCAACTTCCCGACGAATAATTCCCTTTGAGGGAAAAGGTAGAAAAGGTATTTCCTTACAGAGAAATACACCCTAGCACACGATGAAACTTGTTTTTAATTTTTTTTGTTTTGCCATGCAACACGTCTTTTAAATTTTTTGTTTTGTTTTATTTCGCCTTTCCACATGGTGTTTTAATTAAATTATTTTTTTATTTCACTATGCTAGAAGACATTTTTGTTTTTTGTTTTTGGTTTTCACCCTGAGAAAGATGGCGTTTTTTTTTGAAGAATCATCATTGTTAAGCTATTTGTTTGTGTTGATCACATTGCCTCTCCAATTTAATTACTCCTCTCCTGTTTGACTATTATTTTCTCTTCTTCCCAATGGCATTTTAATTTACTTTGCTATATCATGGAGCAATGCATAATGAATGTGTATTGGGGGGGTGTTATGCAAACAGGAGATGTAATTTCAAACACAGCTAAAGTAAAAAAAACTCATTATTGATGGAATCTTATGTTGGGATATCGTAAGAGATGAAATCGAAGTTTATTTTAGCGAAGTTGGATACCAATAAATTTCAGTTGTTTATGGCAATTCCCCAACGCTATGGGCGATGAGTATGGTTTCCCTGTGATGAAAATTGACAATGAGCGTACGTGGAGCTTATTTGGAGCTAGGGGAGTATAAATAAAGTACTCCCTCCGTCCCGTGAAACCTTTCCCCTTTCTTTTTTTATCCGTCCCACAAAACACTTCTCATTTCTATTAAAAAGTCACTTTTACCTCTTACTTTTTCATACCTTAACTATCACATCATACCTTTTTACTAATAATCTATCCATCAAATCATATTTTTACCCATAACATCAAAGGACATTTTTGGAAATTCAATACCAAAATACACTCCCTTAAATCACTCCTAAAAAGCAAATGTCCCATGTTTCACGGGACGGAGGTAGTAGAAAGAAGTGGGAGTAAAAGACCAAAAGGGACACAAGCTGAAAATTAAAATAAGGAAGAGACCATAGGTATAATTGTCATGTCACACCTAAAAATAGATTTCGAAAGCTGATGCATTTCATCCATATCGATGCCGAGCCTGGTCTAATCTTCTAAATTAGTCACCGGGAGGAGGGAGATGCTTGCTGGGAATAAGGAGCAGCATCAGTGTCGTATCCTCGACGGTTTAAGCTATGCTCATCGGATCGGAGTTTGTTCGTGGTCTGTTGCGAAAGTCGTTGGAATAGAGGAAGGTTGCCCCGCCAGTGCTTGCTAGATTTGGGCATCGCTTGGTGGTCGCTAGCCTCCCTCGGAATATGTCGTCGCTGCTGGAGTCGGGGGATTGTGGCTGGGTTGGGTCGCAATTAGCTCTGGGTCGAGTCTTTTTTTAATCCCAATGGGCAAACCACCAAGCTTGGTGGGGTAAGGTCTAGGCAACCCTTACCGAGTTTATTAAGATACTTTCGTCACCAAAAAGTGAGGGGAGGATCAAAACCAAGACCTAATGCCAGCCAATTATCACACATCAATCCAAAATCAATCTTCAAATTTAATTATTAGAATAGAACTTTTCATAAGCAGTGACCCCAATTCTTGAAGTTTTCTTGCAGATCCATCAATATCTTGAATTTGGACTCTCAAGTCAATCAATTATCACATATCAATCCAAAATCACACTTTAGATGAATATTCACCATAAAATCACACTTTAGATGAATATTCACCATAAGTCCTGATTAATTTTAAAATCTATGTTAATAAGTTTATTAAAAGATAATCAAATTTACTCAAATGTTGGAACAGTTACAACGTTGTTTACCTATAGTCACGATAGATGGCACCCATTTGTATGGAAAGCATAATGGACATTTACTACTAGTCATTGCCCTTAACAGAATTCGTGAGTTGTTCCCCATTGCATACGTTGTGGTTAATGGAGAAACCACTGAAAGTTGGTCTTAGTTTATGCAATTGTTAGTGTAGAGGGTTATCAGTAATTTGAAAGCCGTCATCATTTTAGACAGACATGCCAGCATAATTAATTCTTATTGCTATCTACCCAAACTCTGAAAAGGTCTAATTGCAAGGAGATATTGTTGAATATAAGTGAGCCTTGCTGGCCAACTTATGATTTCATATCTATATTATATCAAGAACAACAAGCCATATAGATTGATAAGTCGTATTTTCCAATTTAAAAAAAGCTTTAGTCCATAGAGTAGGCACTCTAGTAACATAGATGAGGATTACGATGTTCTAATTATGTAGCTGTTACAAAGATAGAGGTTACATCTAAAATATCATTAGTCGAATATTATGATAATACAAACATTACAATATATTAAGACTAATACGTATGAGATGAGATAGTCGTGTATTATAGGCTATAGATAAAGCGTTATCTGAATCTATATATAGGCAAGTATATTCACCCCCCTTCTAGAGGTGCGTAAGTTGTTTAACAAGTGGTATCAGAGCGAGAGATTTTCAAAGCTTTACCGCTGAAAATTTAAAAAAATCATGGCCGGAAGAACATTTCAACCCAGAGTTGTCGAAGGACAATCCACGACAAGGCCACAACTCTTCGACGACACAAATTATGCTTATTGGAAAGAGAGGATAAGAATATTCATCCAATCAAATCATTATGATTCTTGGCTGGTGATCAAGCATGGAGAGACGGTTCCCACGAAGATTGTTGACGGGGTTCTTGTTCCAAAGTTAGAGACCGAATATACCTCAAATGACAAGAAGAAGATGCAACTAAATGCAAGGGCCATCAACTTTCTATACTGTGCTGTGAACCCGGATGACTATCGGAAAATCTCAAGGTGCAAGACGGCCAATGAGATGTGGAACAAATTAAAGGTCACGTATGAAGGAACAAGTCAAGTGAAGGACTCAAAGATCGACTTACTCACCCATGAGTATGAGCTTTTCATGATGATGGAAAATGAAACAATAGATGGCATGTTCGAGAGATTTTCAACTATCGTCTCAAATTTGGATACACTTGGGAAGCATTATGAGGATCATGTTCTCGTTCGAAAAATCCTTCGAAGTCTCACACCACAATGGAAGTCTACGGTCAACCCTATCAAAGAAGGTCGAGATTACAATACATTGACATATGACGCACTTCAAGGTAAACTACTCACTTATGAAATGTCTAACTTTTCTAGTGCAGCGGAGATCAAAAGGGATCAAAATCTATCATTCAAAGGAGTTGCACTCAAAGCTTCATCGTCAAAATATATTGAGACAAGCGGCTCTGGAGAAAGTGACATTCTCGAGTTATTTAATGACTTCTTGCAAAATGAGCTTGAGCAATTGAATGAGAGTACAAAGCCTACTTGCTATGGATGTGGAGAGCGTGGACATATCAAGCGTCATTTCCCTAATCGAAAATTCAAAAAGTCCAAACGCCAAAAGCAATCCAACTCTAGCTCCTCTTCCTCATCCGATGATAAAGTAGCCATTTGTCTTATGACTCGAAGTGAATCCGAAGTGGTAAGTTCTTCTAATGATCCTTTTAGTTTTGAAGAACTACAAGAAGCATTTGGTGATTTATTTAAATAATTTAAGAAAGTCTCATCTATTGCCAAAGATTTGGAATATAAAATCACCCTTTTGCAAAAGAAAAATAATATTTTGCAAAAAGAAATTGTTTCCCTCAAAATTGAAAAATAAAACTTTTGAGGAGACTAATTTGATTTCAAATGATTCACCTTGTTCTACATGTAAGTCTTCTAGTCTTGAGATAGAAGCACTTAAGAAAGAGGTAGACGATTTGAAATTAGCTATGAAGAAAGTTGAAAATGAATTTAGACTAAAATCTACCTCTAAGATTAAATACTATAGATCACCTAGAAATAAACTAAGTTATTCTAGGAATTCTAAGTTTGATAGACAACCTAGAAAGCACATCACACGACCTAGAAATATGAACAACCCTAGTGTTAGGTGTCATTATTGTAATAAAGTAGGACACAAAACACCAGTTTGTTACACTATGTAAAGACACTTGCTTCTAAGTCAAGATAATGTGATGCATCGTTCATATGATTTTTATTATTGTCATAACACCCCTGGACCCAAAAGGCATTGGGTACCTAGATTTGCTTCGTAGATTCATTAAAGAATGTGTTCTTGAACACTTCGAATTGAGTTGAAGTAGATGCGCCAAGCACATAATTGGGTGAAACATCAATCAAGGGACAAGTTGCCTATGTGGGCCAAGTCACAATCGAATGTCGTGGGTGTTTGTGTGTTGAATGCACTATAAGGCTAGGGTATGCACCTCTTCTAACAGGTGGCAGAAAATTCTTACGAGGTGGTGAGTTCTGCTCTAATGATCTTAATCATTTTTGCAAAGCTAATGGAATACTGGTGGTCCCAAAGTGGTGAGATACAAAGTCTAGAGGGGGGGGGGGTGAATAGACTTTGTTACAAATTTAAAAACTTTTTCGTTTCTTTTTGAAAACGTGAAAATGAGTGTTAATCTAGAGTTCTTGTGAACTTTAGACTGTGCGCGGAATTTGGTGGGTAGAGTGAGCAGTAATCAATATGGATGGGTTAGTTTTCACAGTTAATATAATTACAAGTAAGAGTAAAGATAAAAGAGAGAGACACGCAAACTTTAACGAGGTTCGAAGGTGGGGTAATCCTTCTACGTCCTCAAAATCCACTATGTATTTGGTTGTTAAATAATAAACCAACAATTACACTTGTGTGAATTTCTGCATGGTATATCTTCGCAAGACCAATGTTGCTACTGCACTCGTGCTGGCTTTGTTGTTCCTTCGAAGGTCACGCTTCTTCAACAACTGCAAGATCCGAACAATAGGACTTGCAAGACCAACTTGTAAGAAAGTTGACCTACCCCCTTTTTAATCAAGAAGTTTGATCAAAAAGTTGTATCCTTCAAACGTGGTGTGGTACTTGAGGCAAGGAAACCTTCAAGTGTTTACACTATAGCTCTTTGGAAGGAAGAGAAGTTTGTTTCTGGATAAGGAGTTGAGAAATCTCTCTTTATCAAGCTTTTTGGGCTAACTGTGAATGAGATTGCTTTGTTGTTAGAGATTGCTTCGTTCAAATATTTCTACTGATTCATACTTCCTCCAGTCTTCCAAGGACGCTATTTATAGCTGGATTGGATAATCTATCCGTTGAATCATAATAGACTATCCGTTGCATTTGCTGGCTTCAATTTTGAATGAAGATTGTGATTTGAAGATTCTTCGTTACAGTGGGTGTTTGGACGTACCCAATTGTTTGAGAAATGATTCCACTTTCCACAGAATCCGTCTTCTAGCTGTTGTTCAAGAATTCTGAACTGTAGCACTTTAGCGCCTTTGTCTTCTAGTGCTTGTTTAGGAATTCTGGACAGGCTCTTCAATTTTAGAGGTCCAGACTTTGTCTTCGAGCTATTTGTTCTTGAATCAGCATAATTATCTTCAATCTAGCCGTTGAAAATCAAGAGATTGATTTTTCCTTACCAACGGGTAGAATTTCTTCATTCAAGACTTAGATAATTTTCCAAGTCTTTTTCTCACTTGTCCGCTTTTTGAGAATTCTGGTCTTCAATGAGTCTTCCGATTCTTATCTGACAAATCCGGAGGGGTCATTCTGAGTCTTCCGGGTGAGAAAGAGATCCGCGCTAGTCTTCTGACTTAGCCTACAGCGGGTTGTAGCGAGACATCCGGTTCTCAAATAGTCTTCTGGATTAGAGGATTTTCATTTGCTTCAGAAATCCTTACTTGTCTCTGACATTTCCGATCAAGATATCCAATTTCCATATCACGAATTCGATTAAGTCTTCAGGCATCAAAACGCTTAAAGAATAATCACAATTTTATTGGAAATCTCAAGAACTCGTTTTGACAATATTTCTAAAAAGAAAAATTACATTGAATATTGGGGGAGACCTAAAGTCCCTATTACATCATAATCAAAATCTATAATATTTTTTCCAACAATTTCCCCCTTTTTGATGATGACAAACAAGTGTTTAAGAGTTCCGGTCGCTGTACTGAGAACTAATTTTATAACTTTCTTTTAGTTTCTCATAACATACAGCTTGTTAACAAAAACTCTTAAGCAATTACAATTCAAATTACAATAATTCCTAAACCAAGTCTTGTCTTGAGATTTTGTGATATCTTCCGCCATTGACCATTTTCAGCTGCAGTAGAACTTGCTGGGCAGAGCGGTTGGCGTTGCGTTTGATAGATCTTTATTATCCGAAGTGGATAACAGAGATCTAGGGAGCAACACATCTCTCCAAAAACAAAAAAAAACAAGAACAAAAAATGAAAGAGGAGCGGAGAGAAAGGCGGCGGCGGTGGAAGAAAAGAAAAAGATAGAAAAGGTTTTGGAAAAGAAAATTTAAAGATGAAGGAAAAAACAAAAAAAATGCTTGGGAAAAGGGAGCAGAGGCAGCACCAAAAATTTTAAAAAAACTTGTAAGAAAAATGGGGCGACTGCTCAAAAAAAAATTTCAAAGAAAAAAAATTTTGAAAATAATATTTGAGAAAGGGAACATGTTCTGCACAGAAAAGATTTAAGGAAAATGCTTGGGAGAAGGGTGCAGAAACTGTCCAAAAATAAAAAGTTTAGAAAAAGTAAAGAAAGGAGAGGGGAAGGGAAAGAAATCATTGAAAAAATAAAAAAAATAAAATAGAGAGAGTGTTGTTCCAGAGAAAGTGTATGATCTAATCCCGAAAAATACGAGAATTACATCATATACAATCTCTACTGCTGAGAATTACATCATATACAATGAATTACTTTCTTTCTCACTAGGCTTTTCTTCATTGCCGTCTATGAGGGTGAGGAAGAGAAGTTTCTCCATTGAGAGTAATTTTCTTGATGTTTTTCTTAGACAGTGAACTTGAAGACTTTCATATTGAGAGAGTTGTTTGTGATGGAAATGGATTGGAATGTCATGATTTAAATAGGGGAGGAGGAGGTTCACGGGTTCCATTAAGTGGGTAGTTGGAATGGTGAGAGTAAAAGAGTTTCAACTTCCAAGAAGTTGAATTTGAAGGGTTGAAGGAATCTTTTACTGACTTCCAAAAGGGTTGAAACTGTTCCAATTAGGAACTTAGTTTTGTTTGGTTTGAGAAACGTAACTATTTTAGTTTGGCTAAGCCCAAAAGAGTGGCCCAAAAAGAAAAGAAAGCTATGTACTAAAGGGAAATTATTCCTATTGGGTTCTCAAGGCCCAAAATAAAACTATCATTTTTCATTCCCTATAGTTCCAATTTCTAAATAGGACGAGGTAGTACCAAAACAATTATGAATTTTATTTTAAAAGAAAAGTGGTACTATTTTTCCAAAGTCCTGTACAATATAAAAATCCTAAGGACTAGTACTTTTAGAGCTAGTTAGAAATGAATTAAGAATTAAAGCTTAGTCTTAAGAGGGTAGATTTTGTAAAGTACCTGAATCAGAGAATTCCAATTTTAGTACCAAAACTGAGATATCCGTCTTCCATTGCTTAGAGCTTATCAATAATTCATTGCCAAAAACAATTGTTAGCCAAAAACTAGTTAAGTTCCCCCTGAATCACATTCCCCCCTGAATGTATGCGCTTCAGAATCAAATTTCTCAACATCATACTTATAATAAGCATAATCAAGCATAATAAGCACAATTAAGAGAATTGTTGAAGCAATGTTTAAACCAATCAAGCAATGTTTAAACAAGAAGGTGTTTTCATCAAAAGAAATTAGTGTTTTCACATACTTTCCCCCTGGTTTGATGAAAATAACCTTCAGTTTCTCTTGCGCTTGGAAGATCCGGCAACCTCACTGATGCCCTGCATGCTTCCACAGAGTTCTTTGATGCGCCTTAAATTCTCACGCCTTTCCTCTGATTGAGCATCATTTGAGAAGTGGTCAACAACTATACCTATAAATTCTGTTCCATCCAGTCCTGAGCTGGATAGATGCTGGGCTGAGTTTTCCAGATTTCTTTGCTGTGCTTCAAGGATTAGATTTGTCATGTTCAGATGAGAAGGGATATAAGATGCTTCTCCTTCTTTGACTGCAATGGGGAGCTGGGGTATTGGAGATGGATTGTGTTGTTGGAGAATTACTTCCATCTTGCGCTTTCCAGAGTTTGCGCCAAGAAGTCTGAACATTTTGTGTTCTTCCTTTTGATTGTCAATGATCACCTTCAAGTAGTCTTTGGTTACTACCTGATTTGCTGAAGCTATTGCTAGGGCTGATCTGATGTCCATTTGGAGAAGGGACATCTGCTTTTGTAGACCAACTGTGACACTTGCTATTTGCTCCTTGACTTTGTTGAATTCATTGAATTGCAGTTGACTGTTAGAGGTATATATTTCCATCGTATTGCTCATAGTTTTACTCAATAGAGAGATGATCTCTAGAGTGTTTTCTACTGATTTGCTTATCTCCTTGAGATCAGCGCTGTGTTTCTCTTCAGATTTCTCTATCAGCTGAGTGTGCTTGGCTTCCATTCGCTCTATCTCTTGCCTAAAGGAGGCATGTTGAGATGCTAGGGCTGACTCAATCAGCCCTTGGACCTTCTTTGTCCAGATTTCCGGTATCTCATCCGGAAGGGTAGGGGTGGAAGAGTTATGGAAATGAAAATTGGTTACCTGATGAGAAGATAGTGTTCTTTGGAAGAGTTGCAAAGGAAGAGATTCAGCATCTTCTTGTATATCTTCTTCATCAGTGACCTTCAATGTTCTTTCAGATTCACCTTCTGCTTCATTAAGCGCAAAATTTGATATATATCTGGAGAGGGAGTCTCTTTCTTCATCTGCATTCTGTTCTTCAAAAATGGCTACTGGAGTTTGAGAGACCTCCACATCTGCCATTTGAGTTTCCTTTTCAGCTTCTCCAGAGTTTCTTTGCACTTCAACAGCTTTCTCCATGGTTTCTGGAATAGCTGACTGTTCCGGAATTTCTGCTGACTTTTCCGGAATCTCAAGTTCTGGCTGGTTGGAGATCTCACAAGGAGTTGTGAGGATCTCGAGCACTTGAGATTGGATTAGTTGCTGAATTTCTTCTTCTTCTGCTGTTTCTTCCTGGTTTTGTTCTTGTGGGGGAGAGGCTGCCTTTTCTTGAACAGATTTTGAGAAGACTGGCTTGAAGACTGCAGTATCTTCTTCATCTGCTTCACAGTCTGAAACTGGTGTGTTGGCCAGGTATTCCATATGCAGGTCTTCAGGGTTCCTTTGCCATACCTAGTAGTCATCCAACATGTCTTCACAGCCGTGGTTGACTGGTAGTCCTAGGCATTTCTTGATGATCTTCTCACTTCTCAGTTGTTGGTCCCAATCCAACAGTTGCTCTTCTGAATTTCCAACTTTCCAAGCTCTCCAATTATAGTAGAGCTGCCAGAATTTGTTTTCAGCATCATCTGATTGAGGCTGAGATGAGGCTGGAAGGCTTTGATCTAGAGGAGCTTCTTCTTCAAGTTGTTGAGGGCTCCGGTTTTGGGCAGAGGTTTCCTCAGCAGGTTCCTTCTCCTTCAACTCATCCGGATTGACTGTTCCAGATGTTGATGGAGAGTTGATCTTCCTCTTCTTCTTCCTTTGAAGTTCTCCATGGTCGGAGACTTCTTCTTCCTCTTCCAAACAGACCAGAGCAAGGTTCTGTGGTGCTTCAATGCTGATGGAGGGAGACACCACTTGCTTTCTCTTGGCAGTCTTTGCCAAATGGATGAGTGGGACATTGTCTAAAGAGCTCTCCTCAGCAGTAACACTAGCACTAGCTCTGTTTTCTCCTTTGGAAGATAGGTAGTATAGCCAATATCTGGTTTCATACTTTTTCCCTTTAGAAGCAGCACCCATAGACTCCAAAATGTGTCCAATATACAGACCTTGGCAAAGATAATTCTGGTTGTGCTTTCCCAGATGTCTTGAAATTGATTTGAAGAAGTGTGCAGCCCAGTTTACCTTAGATTTGGTAATTAGAGCGTTGATGATGAAGGCTCTCTCCTGGGTGATGTCATCAGCATGCCCTCCACTTCCACACTCGAGGCAAGCAATGACCAGTTCCAAAACCAACTTGTAATCGTTGTTCAGATCTGCTTTCTTCGCTGGGCCAGAAGGAATTTGTCCAGAAATTCCGATAACACTCCAGTCCAGATTTTTGACTGGAAGTTTCCCAATTTCAGCTCCAGAGTTGGGAAGGTGAAGCTTTTCTCCCAATTTCTTCTGCGAGAGCTTCACTTTGGTTCCTCCAACAGTGGATTTGATGACTGGAAACGTTCTCTGTGGGTCCTTCTTTGATTTAGCAGATTTGATTTCTCCATTTCTGTAGAATTCAAGAACTTCTTCTTCAAATTTGAGGCGAATCTCCATTTGAAGAAATTCGGAGAGTTCTTGAGCAGCTATCATCTCCAGATAACTTTGATAGAACGCCGGTGAGGCGCATTTTGCTTCCAATTTCTGGAAATGAACATTTGCTCCAACAATCTTAATTTTCTCAAAAATTTGAGTGAAGATCTGAAGAATTCTGAAGAAAATTTTAGGGTTTTTGAGAGAATTTTGATTTCTCACAAAGAAGACGACGGAACAGAGATTTGAAAAGTGGCGATTGAGTTAAATTTGGGCGATTTATGCGGCTGGTGGCGATTGAGTTTTTGACTATTCCCAAGGCCACGTGCCTACCCAATATTTTGACAGACGTGGAAAGTGGTCTGCCACGTGCACCGCACTTAGTCTAATTGAATTAGACCAATTTTGTGAAGCAAACCGGAAAACTTGGCTTCACTCAGTGGTTTTGTGAAGATATCCGCCAGTTGTTCTTCAGTTGAGATATACTCAATTTTGATATCCTTCTTTTCCACATGATCTCTGATGAAGTGATGCTTGACATCAATATGCTTAGTGCGAGAATGATGCACTGGGTTTTGAGAGATGGCTATAGCACTTTTATTATCACAAAAGATTGTCACTTCCTTTATCTTGACTCCATAGTCCAGTAGTTGTTGCTTCAGCCACAAAATCTGAGCACAACAACTACCAGCAGCAATGTACTCTGCTTCTGCTGTTGATGTAGAAATGGAGTTTTGCTTCTTACTGAACCAAGAAACAAGATTTCCGCCAATGAATTGACAAGTACCAGATGTACTTTTCCGGTCAACTTTGCATCCGGCAAAGTCAGAATCTGAGTATCCCACTAACTCAAATGAATTGCTCTTAGCATACCATAAACCCATGTTCTGAGTTCCTTTGAGGTATCTAAGAATTCTTTTAGCTGCTATCAGATGACTTTCCTTTGGCTTTGACTGGAATCTGGCACAAACACCTACTGCATATGAGATATCCGGACGGCTTGTAGTAAGGTAGAGTAGAGATCCAACGATTCCTCTGTAGAGAGTTTGATCTACATTCTTTCCATCTACATCCATATCAAGCTTGGTGGATGTACTCATGGGGACAGGATCGGATGACTTCTGATCAACTTTGAATTTCTTGATAAGATCCCTTGTGTACTTGGCCTGGTTGATGAGAATGCCTTCACTTCTCTGTTTGATTTGAAGGCCAAGGAAGTAGTTGAGTTCCCCCATCATGCTCATCTCAAATTTTCCTTGCATGAGGGTTGAGAACTTGGTGCATAGATCTTCCTTAGTTGAGCCAAATATGATGTCGTCCACATAGATTTGGACTAATAGGCGATCTTCTCCATCTTGTAGTTTGAACAGTGTCTTGTCAATGACTCCTTTGGTAAATCCATTGTCTAGAAGAAATTGAGACAATGTATCATACCAAGCTCTTGGTGCTTGTTTGAGTCCATACAGCGCCTTTTTGAGTCTATACACTTGATCTCCCTTAGTGTGTAGCTCAAATCTTGGAGGTTGTTCCACATAAACTTCTTCCTCGAGGTTTCCATTGAGAAAAGCCCTTTTGACGTCCATTTGATAGACTTTGAAATCCTTATGAGCTGCAAAGGCTAGAAACAGCCTTATAGCTTCAAGTCTAGCAACTGGAGCCAAGGTTTCATCAAAATCTATACCTTCTTCTTGACAATATCCTTTTGCAACTAGCCGGGCTTTGTTTCTGACAACAACGCCGTTTTCATCCATCTTGTTCCGGAAGACCCACTTTGTCCCAATGACATGTTGATGAGTAGGTCTGGGAACAAGTTTCCAGACGTCATTTCTGGAGAATTGGTTGAGTTCTTCTTGCATTGCATTGATCCAATCAGAATCAGCTAGAGCTTCTTCTATATTCTTCAGTTCCACTTGTGAGATGAAACAAGCAAGCATAGCTTCAAGATTTTGTTGGGCACTCCTTGTGCGAACACCGGATTGAATATCTCCAATGATCTGTTGAGGAGGATGATCCCTTAACCAACGAAGATTGTGTTGATTGGGATTGACTGGTTGATCAAGTTCAGCTTCTGGTTGAAGAATAGAAGTTGTTGGTGTTTCCGGATGGATTGGCATTGGGTCGCCATTTCCGGAATTGTCGCCGTTTGAGAGATCCGGAATATAGGAAGGCTGGCCAAAATTTCCGGAAGGCTCAGCACTGTCTGAATCCAGATTTCTCCGTGAAGTCTTCAGTGGTAGACTTCTGAATGGAATGAACTCCGTAGGCTTCATTCTATCTCCTTCATTGACTTCTTCATCCTTGTCTGATAGATCCAGAACCTCATGATCATGCTTTGATGGCTTGTCAACCACATGTTTTTCATCAAAAATAACATGTATTGACTCTTCAGTGATCATGGTTGTTTTGTTGAAAACTCTGAATGCCTTGCTCACTATGGAATATCCTAGGAAGATGGCCTCATCTGATTTCTCATCAAAAGTGTTCAGATGATTCTTCCCGTTGTTTAACACAAAGCACTTGCTCCCAAAAATATGGAAATATGATATATTAGGCTTTCTCCCGTTCCACAGTTCATAAGGAGTTTTGTTGTGCCTTTTGTAAATCATACTCCTATTTTGAGTATAGCAAGCCGTGTTAACAGCTTCGGCCCAGAACCTCTTTGGCAAGGAGGCTTCTGCTAGCATAGTTCTTACTGCTTCCTTCAAGGTTCTATTTCTTCTTTCAGCTACACCATTCTGCCGGGGTGTCCTTGCTGCGGATGTCTGATGAAGAATTCCGTTTTCTTCACAATAATGAATGATGATTTCATTCGAGAATTCTGTGCCTTTGTCCGATCTGATCTTCTGAATGGTCTGACTTGCTTGGTTTTGAATCAGCTTCATACAGTTGGTGAGTTTTCCTTGAGTCTCCTTTTTGCCGTTGAGGAAGTCTGTCCACGTATTTCTTGAGTAATCATCAACTACCACCAGGACATATTTCTTTCCACTTAGACTTATCAGTGTAACAGGGCCAAATAAGTCCATGTGGATAAGACTTAATATCTTTGTAGTTGAGGGTGCCGGTTTTGCCTTGAAAGTAGACTTGACTTGCTTTCCTTTCTGGCAAGCATCACAAATGCTTTCCTTCCTGAATGCAGCTTTGGGAAGACCTTCTACTAACCCTTCTTTGGATAGCTTGTTGAGAGTTTTGAAGTTGAGATGACTCAACCTCTTATGCCAAAGCCATAGAAGATTAGTGTCACCTTTGCTGATTAGACAGGCTTCCTTGACATCATCCCATATCACTTCATATATGTTTCTGATTCTCTTCCCAGTGAGAATGACTTCATTCGTAGAGATGTTCTTGAGAGATGCCATGTCCTTGCAAAATTCCAAGGAGTAACCTTTGTCACAAAACTGACTTATGCTAAGAAGGTTATAATTGAGACCTTCAACATAAGATACAGCTTGGATGGTTAGTCCTTTGTACACCAGATTTCCTAGCCCTTTAGTAAGGACGAAATCATTGCTTTCTCCAAAAGTAACTCTTGGACCATTATAGGGAATTAGATTGCTCAAAAGACTCGCATCACCCGTCATGTGTCTTGAACAGCCGCTGTCTAAGTACCAGACATCAGGGTACTTAGCGGCTTCCTACATTAGGAGGAGGAAGATTTTGGTACCCAATTAAGTTTGGGTCCACAGTAGTTAATGGTGTGTGTCCATACATCAAGTTTGAAGTTGCAGGGAATTTTCCTTGCAGCTCTGAACTTGTTAGGGTTGTAATCATAGTTGTACGCATAAAACTTCCTACGTGCAGGAGGTGCAATTTCCTGTTTCCTCCTAGGAAACCTAGGTCGGTAAGACCTATAGTTTTGTCTAGGTTGTGCATAGTGTGACCTGTGTCGGTTATGAACATACTTAGGTGGCACAAATAGTTTCTGGGGTGGAGGATGACTATATCTTGGCATAGTTCTCCACTCAGAATTTCTTGGAAAACTCCTATCTACCCCATAATGAGTAAAGCCTCGTGTATAGTGGGGGTTAGAAGGTTTTCTTCTGAAATTATTTCCTCTTTGAGGTCTGTCCAGTTTCCTATAGTTCTTAGGAGGAACAACCTTTTTGGGAACTTCTGTTGGTTTATCCTTTTCCTTTCCTTTCTGCTTATTTGGTTTAGCAGTAGGTTTAGGAGGGATGAAAGTTGTTCTCCCTTTCCTTTTGGAACTAGAGGGGTCAAACCCAAGTCCTTTACGACCCTTATGGTTGGTCGTTTCAAGAAGCTTATCCACTGCTTCCTTAGACTTAAGTATCCCTAGCTCTTTGTTAAGGGATTTCACCTTTTCAGAGAGAGATTCATTTTCAGTCTTGAGTTGAGTGATCTCATTCAGTTGACTTTTCCGACCTTCAGTCAACTTGAGATTCTCTTCACTCAATAGTTTGTTCTCCTCTGTTAAGGATGAATGTTTGAGATTTATTTCCTCAAAATCTTCCATCATCTTTTTGAACTGGTCAAATAGATTTTCAGAAGTTGGTATGCTTTCATAAGAAGATGAGCATGAGGTTTGTGAAGTTACCTCTTGTTCAGCATCATCTTTGGCCATTAAGCAGAGATGGTCATCTTCTGACATAGTCCACATATCCTCATGGTTGGACTTCTCAGCTCTGCGCTCCATGCAGACGAGGGCTTCTTCATCTGAGCTTGAGCTTGATGACTCGTCACTTTCAGCAGCAACCATTCCCTTCTTTTTCTTCTCGTTCCTTTCTCTTTCTCCGTACTTCTCCACCTTTGGGTACGGGCATGCTGACTTCCAGTGGCCAGGTTTCCTGCAGTTATAACATAGATAAGATTTAGGAGGGGAGTCACTTACCTGTGGCTTTCCCTTGGATGGCCTTCTGACTGAGTCAGTCTTTTTGAAGAACTTCTTGAACTTCCAGAATTGCTTAACCATCATGGCAAAATCCTCATCGTAGTTCTCCATTTTTGAGCTTGACGGCTGGCTGGAGGAGGGTGTGTCACAGTTCCTTGGGCATGTCCCTTCACTTGATGGGACTTTTGGAGTTGTTATCAGTGCCGTGGGGAAGGGAGTGACTTGTTCTTCCTTCTTCTTCTTCAGCTCGTGCTCATAGGTTCTGAGCTTATCAAGGAGACCTTAGACCGTGTAGTTCTCTAGGTTTCTTCCTTCTTCCATGGCTGTGGCTTTGGTGTACCACTCGGTTGGAAGTGATCTCAGTAACCTTACATTCTTTTCTTTGGGA